AGGTAGCCAGTAAGAAGCGCTAGCCACTAGCCAATAGTTTTATAATTAATACAATGCCTGTGCGTTTATTTGGGCCTGAAGGGCGGCAGGACCTGGCAGAACAGAACCTCCATCTTCAGGAGACAGAGCCTCTCACTGACCTAGAAACCACCATGTACACTACTCTGCCTGGATAGAAAGCCTCAGGGAGCCGCCTGCCTCTGCATGCCAAGCCCTGCGCTTACAAGTGTGCCTGCTTTTTGTTTGTTTGTCTTTTAATTGTGGGCTCTGGGAATCAAACTCAGGCCCTCTCCTCCAGCCTGTGCACTTTGACGACTGAGCCCCAAATATATCTCCTCATAAAGCAGAATGTAATGACTTCCGATAACAAGTAGCTTCCCCTGGTGAATATTCCTTGGTTTCTGAACCTACTCGGTCAGCCACTCCAGCTGAGGCAGGTCACTGAGTTAGGCAGCCCACGGCCAACGTCCAATGCTTTGCTTCCTAGAAGTTACATATGTCTGGAGGTAGAGGAGGGGTCAGGTGAGAACAAAGGCCTTTAGGTAGATTCTCTTAATGAGTCTTGGGACTTGACAGCACAGGGAATCCCCTAGGCCATGGCTGGAATTCAGGCACCTCACCAGGGCTGAGGACACTGCAACAGAAAGACATAGCTCTTGAAAGCCTGATGGGAAATATGCTAGCTCTCTTCCCTCCCTCCCCCTACCTCCTCTCTTTCTGTCTCGATCTGTCTCTATGTGTGTGTGTGTGTGTGTGTGTGTGTGTGTGTGTGTGTGCGCGCGCATGAGCGCATGCATGCATGCATGTGAACATGTGCACACAAAGCACCTGTATGCTTGTGTCTATGTACCTGTGACTGGGGGTGTGTATGCAGGTATGCACATGTGTGAAGACCAGGCTTTAGGTCTCTTCCTCCAGTTCTCTTCTGCTTCAATTTCGAGTCTTCCATGGGACCTGAAGTTTCTGTGTCCCACTAGATTAGCTGCCAGCATCTCAAGGGATCCTTTAGTCTCTTCCTTCCCAGTGAATGCCACATCTTGCTTTTCATTTGGATGCTGGGTACCTTAGTTAGGGTTCACTATTGCTTTGAAGAGACACCATGGCCACGGCAACTCTCATAAAGAAAACACTTGACTGAGGGGGCTTGCTTACAGTTTCAGAGGTTCAGTCAATTACCATCATGCAGGGAGCACGGCCGAGTGCAGTCAGAGGTGGTGCTGGAGCTGAGACCACTGATCTTGCAGGCAACAGGAAATCAACTGACTATCATACTGAGGGAAGCTTGAAAATAAGACCTCAAAGTGCCCCACAGTGACATGCTTCGAAAAGAAGGGTGGCCCAGATTCAAAGTGTGTCCTCCAGTTTCAAGGTCTGGATTAAAGGCATGTGTCATCTAGCCTCCTCCAGCAAGGCCACACCTCCTAATAGTGCTACTCCCTATGAGTTTATGGGGGGTCAAATACATTCAAACTACCACACTGGGTGTCAGAACTCCTGCCTTGTTCCAGTGTAGGAGCTGTGCTTTATAACTTACTGTGCTGTTTTTTCTTCCTTTGAGTAGGCTGAGGAATGTCTTGGGTGTTTTGTGTTGCTAAATCACATATCAACTGCTGGGGAAGATTTAAAAAGAGGTTTATTCTGCTTACCATCCTGTAAATCTAAGTAAGACCGGGTGAAGGCCCTCTTGTACAGCCTCAAGTGTGTTGTACCACAGAGCAGGAAGAGACAGGGGTCTGTCTCCTTCCAAAGTCACAAATAGTCATCTCAGGGGCTTCACTCTGGGGGCCGTTATTCCTCTTAGGCACGTCTCTAAGTCTCTTACTCCAAACTCACATCTGAACACTGGTTTCAGCTGCTGTGGAGTGTTTTGCTGCTGAATTCAGGAAAACGAATCCAAGATGCCCTGGTCAGTGAGGCCAAGGGTGCACCAGGCTCCGCTTTGGGGCACAGCAGCTCCTTAGCCTGAGAACTTCCTGAGTTTGCTGGCCTCTTATTCCTCGTGTACTCACTGGGCTTGTAACCTTTCCACTCCTTTCCTGCCAGACTGCAGGTATTCAAATGGGTCAGCTCTTTCCTAGTTTGTCAACACTGTTGCTCGACAATCTCACTTGGACTCTAAGGAAAAGTAGCCAATATGACCCATAGCACAGTTTAAACGCTTTGTTTTGAAATCTCCTCTGGCAAAGAACTCAGTGAATCACTTTCCAGTTCAGTCTTCCACAAGCCTCAGGACACAGGTCCTATCTCCAAGTTACTGGCGATGTTGTAACAGGGATGATGTTGTAACAAGGGCGAGGATGACCTTTCTTCCAACTCCCAGGAGGCCCCTCCTTCCACCTGAGAGTAGTTCCTTACTCTCATCTTCTGAGGTCTCACCAAGAACATTCTTGAAGATCACTTAGAACAGCAGTATTCGGCCTGTGGGTCACAACTCCTTTCAGGGGAGGGTCGAAGGACCCTTTCATGGGGGTCACATATTGGATAATCTGCATATCAGATTATGATTCATAACAGTTGCAAAATTACAGTTATGAAGCAGCAATGACAATAAATTCATGTTTGGGGTTCATCAAAACATGAGGAACTACATTAAAGGGTCGCAGCATTAGGGACCACTGCCTGAAAACTTACTAAGTGCCAGTTCCCCAAAATCCCTTCCAGTTTCAACCAATAACCTCTGTGTTGTCAGGTACTTGTTACCAGCAATCCCCTCCACTCTTGGTTGTCTGAGTCTGTTTGCTGTTACTATAACAGGCCGCACACTGGGAGGTTTAAAGGACTGAGTCAGTTTCCGCTGATAAAGCAGCCTAAGGCTAAGCAAGAACATTTGGCATGGCCTTTTGCCTGGGGAAGGCCTGAGGCAGGCCACTGCAAGACAAGAAACAGGGAGTGCACCTGTGTCTCTCCTCTGGTCACCACCTCTTCTAAAGCTACTGCACCCCATCAAGGGGCTCCACTCTAATCCTACTGGTCTCCCCAAGTTTCTACCTCTAAACGCTCACCTAGTGGTGTAAATTCCTGTCCCCTTAATAGCATGCAAAGGGAATTAAACAACAGCATGTTTTCCAGCGGACAAACCATAGCAAGGTGTGTTTATCTTCCAAGATGGGTAGAGACATCAGTGAATGATACTTTGTGTCTGCACAGTGAATCCTGTGGTTAAAAAAGAAAATCATCCACACAATTGAAAATGTGGTACTTGAAAAAGTAGTTGAAACTAAGCAGCAAACAGGGAAATGGGTGTTAACTTAGCACTAAAGAAATAAAATGGGGAGCCTTGAAGGCCAAGTGGGACTTCCACACACCTAGGGAGCCGATGGAGTGTCTTAGGAAGCAGGCAAGCACAGGAAATGTGCTACGGCAGGAGGGCAGCACTTAGCCTTTCAGGACCCTGTCGTGGTGTGCTGTTTTGCCAGCATGTAGTAAAGTCATAGCATGCTGGCCTCTTCTCTGCTAAGGCAATTTGCAATACAATAAATACAAACTCACCCAGCTGGAAAATGAAATTATTGTAAGATAAATCTGTACGGGTCGGAATCGAGAACTGGACAGTTGCCAGGGGTCATGTCCATTTCCCCAGTCGCTAATGGATCATGTAATGTGCTGCACAAGGCACAGGGGTCCCTTTGGCATCTGTTCATTCCCCCTGCACTAACTGCCATAGAATGCCCCCACCCCTCACTGTCAGACCATTGAAACCATCCCCAGGAATCCATCCCATGATGGAAGAAGGAAATGGCAAAGGCCGAAGTCCCACCAAAAGTGAGACTGTATCTAGACAGAGATTTCCTCACTGTATTGACAGCTTGTCAGGAGCTGGAGCCAACACAATGACAATATGACAGGTAGGGCCACACCCTCATCAGGGCTGCTTGGCTATACATACCTGCTTTCTACCTAAACCTAAACCCAAGCTTTGATTCTGAAGATGGTCTTGGGGTAATGGCTGGGGGTGGCAGTAGCCAATGGATCTCTTTTCCCTTAATGTGACCGTGTTGGGCACATATTTTTCTGCTTTTCACTATTAATTGTGTCCTTTAGTTGGTATGCGGTGGCTGGGTGGCCAAGCCTAGCCTATTAGTTACCAGGGATTGGCTCTGACCTTAAATTTAAATGTTCCTCTTATGCATTCTGCTCAGCAGCCTCTGAGGAGACCCGGATCTTTCTATACGCACTGTGTACGGCATGTCAGATCATGGGCCTGTCTTGCTTGGGTGCAAACAACCACAACAGGCATCTCTGGGTATCCATCAGGTCCTTCAATGTCAATGATGGTGGCATGAAAAGGAACAGGGTGTGTGCGGTTTGAGCCTTATCAATTGCACTTTCCACCTCGAGAGTTAGGACAGGATCACGAGGTCTGGATGCGCACTTAAAACATGCAACACTACTGTGGAAATCTCAGAAACTGGGACTTTGTAACAAAAGATGAGGAGCGGCCAGACTCCTGGGAGGAGATAATTATGGCAACAAAGAAAAATTTCTGAGGGCAGTGGATACAATGTTAGGAGGTCAGCGAGAGTTCAGACCCTGAATTCAAGCAGCCTTTAAAGCCGAGTGAGACTTTGCCCCCTTCACCTCACCAGCATAAGCATGATGGTCCAGAGATTAGATGTGGAACCCATCTCCTAGGAGGATGGGGAGGTGGAGGTTAGCCTGGGAGGCCTTCAGGCCCGCCTGCCGCGGGGCACTCTGGGAATTGTAGTCCGTCCTCCGCTCCCAGGCTAGGGTCCTCCTTCGGAAGGCTGCGTCACAGGCCCCGCCCCCGAGGAATGAAGGGATGTAGGTGTCTACACAGGGCCTGTAGCGCGGCCGACAGGTAGAAGAGGACGGACAACCCTCAGAGGCAGGACCTAGTTCTTGCTCCGCTCTCCTGGGACGCGCCTTAGCGCTTACGACCTTTTCACGGCTCCAGCTACGCGCCGACTTTCTGCTCCGGCGGCGCCGCGGACAGCCGGGAGAAGGGGCGGGGCCGGGCGGGGCGGGGTCCTGCTGTGCTGTCGTCGCTCTAGGGCCCTCCGGGCTGCGCCGTTCCCCAGTGCCCTGGGCTTGCTATGCTGGTGTGAGCCCTAGGCCGCCTCCACGGGGACCTCTGCGCACGCATGGACCTGCCCGCGCCCGGCGGGAAGCGGCCAGGCTGGAGGTGGCCGGGGCGGCGGGGCAGGGCCGAGGCAGCGGGCCCCTGAGCGCGCGCCCTGCAGGCCCGGCCGGAGCACCATGATGCCCGGCGAGACGCACCCGGCGGCGCCCGGGCCAGCCGACCTCGCGCGGTGTCAGGGCTGCGCCTCCCTACAGCAGGTACGAGCATCCCTGGCCCACCCTTTTACGCGGCCTTGGGAGCGGCTGCCTGTGCTTTGTTTAGTCACGGATTCCAGAATTGGTTCACCTGGTGCGATGCTGGTGGCAGACTAGAGCGAGCGCGCTCTGCAGGGCTCCATCCTCCCCTGCTCTGATTCAGGCTTTGCAGGGCCGAGTTGGGTTGGTGGGTGACCTTAAGTGCAGAGAGAATCGTCCTCTCCGGGGTGAAGGCCTTCTCACACTCCACATTATCTATTACTTGAAGGCAAAGGTTTTATCTTTTTATGTTGCGTGTCCGGGTCAATAGACTTCAAGATTCGGGAGCTGCGTTTCAGCCTCCGCCTATCTATTGATGCACCATCAAGCGTAGCTTTTGCCGAGGAACGTGTTACTGGTCTGATTAAAATATTCCCCTAAGATGTGTACGTCTCGGTAGTTTGTTACGGTGACATGCCCTGTTCTCGACAATGAGTCGCTGCAGATGAGTTGCGGGGTTTACTGATGAAGTGGAAATGGTCTCAGCTCACCTCCTTCATCTTGTCCCATTCACCTCATCCCGTTCTTGCCTCGTGTTCTAGTCACTGTTCACATTTTGGTGAACCAGGTGGGCAGGAGTAAAATAAACGTGTGCCAGTACCGCTTGGCAGGATTTTAGATGTTGGGAAGAAAATCATGGAAGATGTCAGGGTGTCGGAGTGAGGTGTTTTGGAGGCAGTAGAAGGTGTGAATGTTGAAAAGCAGCTCTGGATATTGGTTTTTAACAGGTGGGACGGTTTCTGTGATAAGAAAGAGCTGTGCATGTTTGATGTTTGATGAGCAACACCTGTGGAAGCCTCATGGCTGGTGAGACGAAATCAGAAGGGATGCAGGCCAAGTAGCCGTCCATAGAAGCTTGATTTTATTGAAAATGCAGTGTCTGCGTTAATTTATATATTCTAGTTTTGGGAATAGGAGACGGGGTTATATATGCCGGCACTCTTGTATAAATAAAACGAAGAGTCTAGCCTTACTGTAGCTAGGCTCCCATCTGAAATGGAATGGTTCTGCATCTTTAATAGACCACATTTGGCTTTTTAGCCTGTACATTCACTCAAAGATTTTTTTTTGTATCTTCTGCTGTTTTATAACAATGTAAGAAGGGGAAATTATATTAGAATTGATGTATTGGTGACAAATTGTCAAAAATAGGAGGGAAGAGTAGGTAAGGACCAGGATGGTGGTTATTGGAATTTTGTGGTCTTTGGGAAGATCGTATCTGAGCAAAGTAGTTAGAGAATGAGTGTTGATTTTTTTTTTTGAGATAAACATCCTAGTTTGCTTGGGAAGAGTAAATGTGGAGGTTTGAATGTATTTGGCCCTATAAGCCCATGGGGAGTGACACTATTAGGAGGTGTGGTATTGTTGGAGGAGGCTGGAGGGCACACTTTTAATCCGGGCCACCCCTTCTGTTAGAAGTGCATCACTGTGAGGTGGGTTTAGAGGTTTCATATACTCAGGGTATGCCCAGTGTGTCACTTAACTTCCTGTTGCCTGCGAGAGAGAGCAGTCTCAGCCCCAGCACTGCCTTTGCCTGCACATGCTTCCTGCCATGTCCATTGTTGGCTGAACCTGTGAAAACAGGCAAGCCAAGTCAATTAAACGTTTTCTTTATAAGAGCTTCTGTGGTCATGGTGTCTCTTCACAGCAATAGAAACAATAACCAAGACAGCAAGAAAGCCAGCGAGACAGGGGTTGGGGTTTACAGAGGTCAGAACAGCAAGAAGATCCCTGGTCACACACCATTGCTTGGGCTCCTCAGAGTCACTGGAGGTATTTGGACGGTCGGAACAGCTGTGTTCCTCTGCCCTCCCGAGAGCCACCTCCACACACTGCCCACCAGGAGTGTCTGTCCTGTTGAATCAGCAGAGGCATTGAGTCCTTCAAGTTGCTTGAGACCGTCCTTGTACCTGCTCCTCTGACAGCCTGCATCCATTTACTGGCTCTCTTGGCCCCACCATCCTTATTCTTACCGTCTTTACTGTAGAAAGCATTCTAACCTATGTTCTAGAAGCTACTGCTTTCTCTTCCCAAGGGCACCCCTTTTGCCTTCCCTCCAAGACAGGCTTCCACTCTAGAGGAGGGGTTCCTTTAGATCTCCATAGGCCTGGTCTGTAAACTTTTTTCTGTAAGGGGCAAGATCATAAATCACTGGGCTTTTGGGACTCGTTCACACCTGCTCAGTTGCAATCAAGGTGTGAAAGCAGCTAGAGACTCCAGAGTAAAAGAATCCCATGACTATGCCCCTAACAACAGGAAGTTAGCTTGTGCCTTTCGGGGCAATAGTGTTCCAGAGAGGCTGTGAGTCCTATCTCTGGAACATTTCTTTAATTTGCAGAGTGTGCCTGGGAAGATAGGTCTCTAGTGTCTAGACAGTGAGGCTCTGTGCTTATTTCCTGTATATTGAGAGAGGAGAGCTTTTGTCTATAGCACCACTCAAGCAAAATGTGCAGTACAGGATGGCAGTGTGTAGTTCAGGTGGAAGGCACAGGAAGCTGGGCTTGGCCAAGGGTAAATCATCTCACTAATGTGGCCTAGTGAGAGCATCACATCACATGAGTTCATGGAAGCTCTAGGGAATGACAACAGGAAAAACATGCAAGTGTGAGGAGCAAGACCGCTCCTCCTGTGGGGAAGGCGAAGGTACCACTTTGAATAGCGTTGTGAACTTGATGGAAGAAGAAAGGAAACTAGCCGAGGTAGAAAGGCTGTTGGAAATGTGGGGCTGGAGTTTTAAAATGGCATTAGACTTGGGAGTGTTAGCCATTTTCAGATGTTTGTGAAGTATCTCTGAAATGTCCTGGTGCATCTCCAAGGAAGTGGAAGATGGTTTCTACATTTCTAGAGTGCTGAGTTCATAGGAAGAATCTTTTTAACCGGGGGTGGGGGCTTGGGGTGTTGGTTGGTCCTTTGAGACACTTAAACTTTGAAAACCACTGCTATCTGAAGAGGATCTGGGGCTGGGTCCTTGAAGAAGAAAGCATGGAATGGGGGTGGGGGATAAAAAGACTTAAACAGGAAGTGGATCACTGACCTGTTGGTAGGAGAAAGGACTGGACATTGCTACAGCAAGTGCCTGCTCCATGCAGCTTAAACTTAGAGGAACCTTATAGTTTCTAACCGCTGATACTTCTGGATTTTTCGGGAGATGTCCACATAGTCTTTCTCACAGTGGCCCTACTGCAGTGCTGGGCCTTCTTTCTGACTTGGAACCTTAAGGAGCACGCCCCTGTTCTGAACCCAATAGTCTCTCGCTTGCAGAATATCTTCCTGTCTGTTTGGCCCTTGCTTTTCCTTTAGAATTGAAGATACAATTGCCTTTTTATCTACTCCCTCAGGAATGTATCTGAAGGCATCTGTGCTTCAAGACATCTTAAGTATCTGGTGATAGTTTCATAGAGCACTCTTGACCTCTGGATTGTGGTAGTTTGTTACTGATCTGTAGCCCAACATCCACTTGTTCTAGAACTTCAGCAGTCACAAAAAATGGGGGGCAGGCACTAAATCTGATGATACTTTGTGTCTGTCATTGGAGTTGGTCTCCTTATAAAAGCTGCAGATACTCCCCAGAATAGGAAACTGGACAGAAATATTTCATTTCCAGCATCCTCCACATGTGGGAGCTCCAGGAGCAGAAAGCATGAACATGAATGAATGAATGAATGGATGAATGGATGGATGGATGCTGAGAGAATTGTTAGAGAAACCTGCAGTTAGCACCGCCCTCCTCCTTTGCAGAGAGCATCCCTCCCTTCTCAAGAACTGTCAAGCAGTGGATCCCACCTGCACACAGGGTGTGCCAGAAAGACCCAGATGGCCTCCACCCATCATAAGCTGCTGATCTCACTATTGAGAGAGTTCAGTTCCAAGCAGCATAAACGAACCTGGATTGGACAAGGAGAGAGCAGTGTCCAATTAGGAGCATTGCAGTATAAGCTGGTGATACTGCAATGTCTGACCCTTCACACTGGCGTCCACACAGGCCTTGGGTAGTGCAGAAGGGGCTGAAACAGGTAGCTTGGAAGACTCTCCTTTTCCTCTAGGACAGCAACTATCAACCTTCCTAATGCTGCAACCCTTTAATACAGCTCATGCTCTGGTGACCCTCAACCATAAATTTGTTTTGTTGCTACTTTATAACTGTAATTTTACTACTGTTATGAATCATAATATAATGTTTCCCAGTGGTTTTAGGTGACCCCTGTGAAAGGATTGTTTGACTCCCAGGTTGAGAATCACTGCTCTAAGATGTTGGTTTTGTGGTTTTAATGTGCCCCCCCATTTGCTTTCTCTAAGCCAGAGTTATACGTGGTCAAAGTTGAGAGTGAAAACTGAATATAATGTTCTTTCTATAAGACAACCTGCAGCACTGTCCATGTCTTTTTTGCAAAAGACACGATTTTTAATTGCTTACATCATGTACATTTTTATAATGAACCTTCTTGTCTTTTTTGTAAAATTTTTTTTTTAGTTGAAGACCATGTAGATTTCTAATCTTGGAAGTTGAAGGTGGTGCACTCATGCTGCGCCTGTCTCTCCACAATCCCTGCCCATCCTCTTACTGTGCAGGGCTTTGATTAGTGGGGTTGAGATTGTGACCACTTGTCAATTCAGGTTAAATAGGCTAATCCAGACCACAGGTTAAATATACTCTAATGTACGTCATTACTTTTGCATTCCTTCATGGTTTCTTAATTGCCCTAATTCATAATAAATTTTAAAAGACGGTATAGTATGGCTGGTCTAGGCTGCTCTGGAACTCACTGTGGAGCTGAGTTACGGGATTACAGCCATACAACCACCATGCCCTGTTTAGTAATTGGACTTCAGTTTTAGTTTTTCTTGTTGTTTTGGATCATGGTTTGAGGGGATACAGTCCATGGAGAATTCGTGGCAACAGTAGTATGAGACATGTGCTCTCTCTGCGCCAGCAGTGGGGTTGCTGGGAGTGAGTGCGAGTGCTC